GATGTAAACATTTTAGAGCGAACGTCTAAAAAATAACTTTATTTACGCATAATTTAACACAATATAGTAGATTTATTTACAGTTTATTTCGTACAAACAAAGCAAATACGTCGACGAAAAAATACTACTTCCCATCGGGTGGAAAGGAATAAATATGAATAAATGCGATGGATGCGCATTTTAGAAGATGTAGCCTAATATCAGGATTCAGATCCGGCGTTGGACAAGATACTAGTGAGTGTGAGGTAACCCAGAAAATAACAAAGAAAGTAAAACGTACAGTGCTTAATTACTAGTACACTGTGCGGAATTGCGTCTCTGAATGCATATATTAAAAATAATAATCAGTAAATGTTTTTATATTATTTGTAAGCATGGTCGACGAAGGAATAAGGCTGCGGTTTAAAAATATATTTTTATAAAACCAAATGTCATATTAGAAGGATAATAATGTCGCTTGGAACTCATCCACACTTAATTCAATTCAAAACAATGCCACGAAATATTTGATGTCACAACCATTATAAAGCTATTTACGAATATTATTATCATAAATTATATGTATACCAGTTTTTTTTCAATAAATATTGACGTAGTGATACACTGTCGACGATATCGTTAACTCTTTGAATATTTTCCAAACAATGGGCAAGTTTCCAATGGAAAATTGTGTTCATTCGTTCCAGTGATGAAATAGTTTGAAAATGCATAAAAATATAGCGTTCAAAGAATTAATTGATCGTTCGTAACACTGATCGATTAGGTGGTTTGAGCAAAATTAGATTACTTTTTAATACGTTGTGCGCTTATATTACTTGCACGAATGATCTGTGTTAAGAGAAAGTGCCGTTTATGTGCAATTTGAAGGCTATAACTTTCACACGAATGTGATGTAACGTCACGCACAACTAGCGTATAAATACCCGCCTCACATTTGCCACATTACAATACAACTTCTCACTTTAAAAGTATCAAGTTGTCCTGATTGGTAAGTATGATTAACATTATGATATAATATTGTAGAGAAGTTTTGTATTTGCAAGAGTGAATCCGCGTTCCGATTGGAGTAAAATCACTGATTTGACACACTTCGGGCGCGTGATAACCATTTATAATACATACATTTAGTACGAAACGCTGTGGATATATAAAGTAAGACAACCACGAGTAGTGCGTGTAACAAGTGCGACTTTCATTGATACAAAGCATGCTTCTATTCACCGAGATTGCTTACGTTCCCTATTACTCTGATTTAGTATTATCGCCTACTGTTTTGTGTCAATCTATCTAACAACTGTATGTCTAAATTAAATTATTTAATCAACACTATCCGCGTAAATCCGAAATAAGTTTTTGTTGAGGGAGGCAACAGGTTTGTTTTACAGGATTTCTACATCGACAATAGTGTATTTTATGTGGGAGAGGGGGGGAAGTGTCGCAGTAACAATTAGTTTCTGCCACCTCTTTAAAAACATAACATGTAATGACTAGTGATTCGTCATCGTAAGTGTGTCTTATTTGTCCGGTAGGGGTACTTGCATTCGACCTATGTGCGCATACAATGGGCGTATTTGTTTCTAAAATGACGAGATAAACGCTAAAAAAATGTTATTTTTTTCAATCTCTGTGACTAAATTTTTATTATACTTGATAGAACATTTTCTACCTGCAACACCTTGAATGCAGTTTTTCTTCGGTGTCTACTTTGCATTTTGCAAATTTTCAAGTCACTCCCAATGATTTAAAGTGATCGACACATTATCTTTCTTTTGCCATTTTCGAGTAAAGAATGGACTTAAAACACAACAATCGTCACACAGTAACTGTTGAACTTAGATTCCATGGTAGTGGAACCCATTGCAATCTCAGTCGAATGCAAATCATTGTTATTCCTATATTAGTTTTAAAATGATATTGTTATTAACCCTAAACGTAATACACATTATATGATTTTAGCGTAAATGAACAGCTTCTCCATTACATCTCGTGCGTACGTAAAATAAAAATTATTCAACACTGAAAAAATGATGACATCAGTATTAATATTATTTTTTATAGACACCATTATGGGGATGTTAATTGTGATAGCTCTCGTATGCTCTTTGGCTGGACAAACTTTGGGTAAGTGTGCCTCGATTGGGTAAGTGTGCCTCGATTGTCAGACCGCCGGGGGGGGGGGGTGTTCAGCATACATTGTAACGGACCAATATTTTCACTGCCTTTGTTTCAACAATAATTAATACACATTCATATAAATCGTACCCTCTCGCGACGATGCTATTCTGTTACGTAAAAATGACGTTTATGGATGTAAATCTTTAAAACATGGTACTTCATTGACCAATATATTACAGACACCTAGGACACTAAACCGTTTTGTCACTTGAGGGCGTGACTTGATTTTGCACAATCATGATTACTATAAAAACATTAACTATTCGCTGCGGTTTACCTTAGCTAATATTTGCGGATTTATAAAGCTTCGCTGAATTAAAATTTATCATTACAATACAATACAGCTTATACTACAACAAAATTCGTGAATTTAAAACAAAATGAAATGCTCACAATTTAAAAGTAATTTACTATAACCTATTTATTTCATTTATACGTCTGTTTGCCATTGGATAAATATTTGATTAGTTGCACTCCGAGAGCTACCTCTCGTCTGCAAGCGTGACGTAATTGTTATGTTTACCAATCGCGATCGTGAGCGAAATTGAACATGTAATCATGATCGCTGTTGGACAAAACAAACGCCCCAGTTATAAATCAAATACACTGATGGTAACAATAATCTTAATATAATCTTCTTGGCGAACTTATCCTGTTTAATTTCTGTTAGCCTGGTTACCACTGGTTATGGACTAATGTAGTTGTTTAAGCATCACGTAAATACATTACAATGAATGGGTAGCTTATGTCAAGCGTTTTTTAGATTTATTTGTAATTGGGGAGGGATTAAACTTGTATTTTCAACACAGCTGCAAATGCAGGGCAAACTAGTTATCGTATGAGAATGACTATATACCCCAGCAGTCATAAAAATATTGTTTTATATGCATGTTCAAGACAGTATATATTGCGCGCAACACAAATGTGATTGGTTTGTGATTCAATTATTTAAAATGTAATCAGAGATTCAGTTGCATACCTTATAAAATAATTAATTACATTAAAAGACGGCGGTTGTCGAATTTCATGTAAACAATGTATTTCACACGAGTTGTTTTTATGATTATACAATAGTGTGTGGCGACAATCACGACCTTTTATTTATTAGTATATTAGTATATTTCCTTGCGTGAATAAAATCATAGCATAGCACTACATTTTATTAGCGTTACAATAAGAAAGGTACAGCTGTGTAGTCCAGGACAAGGCATGTGCTGTTTCGCTTTCTTCATTTTGCGGTAATCAGACAATTTTTAGAGTGATTATTGCTGTTATTATTCACCACCACTTATAAAAACAATGTTTTATTGATTCCAATTTATTATATTGTACAGGGGAAATCAAGTACAAGATGAATATCAACCTTGATTTAGATGTCGGTGACTCTGATACTGCTATGAGATTCTTTGGTACTGGTCCGGTGCCGGCCGATTGTAACTGTCACAAATGCCACAGCAACTTTTATTGTCCGCCATGCTTTGGTTAGTAACAATTTAGTTTTAGTCTTGTTACCATGAAACATTGTTTGTTATTGCTCAAAACAACATTGGCGCTTTGAACGTCCTTCGTTTTACCAATTTACGTCGGAAGACGGCACTAATCAATATTGACAGAGTTATATTGAGTCGCCATTTTACCAGCTTTCTCAGTTGTTAATATGAAAAGATGAATGATTGAATACAACTATATAAATCAATATTTGTTTTTTTCCTCTTGTCAGCGATTGGTTGCTACTAACTGTGACCAACTACGGCTTTGACTGAAAATGTATTGGAGGATAAGAAAAAAGGCGTCACTATTTGCATAAATCGATAACAGATACAATTCAAGTTATTGTAGTTTATACAATAAAGCATTCAATACCATACTACACCGTTTAATGAGAATTTATTGCTGACTGACATTTTGGGTTTTACACATTGGATACATTTTATATTGTATAAGATATTTAACATGTCTGTTTAATAATAAGTGTAAACAATTTCATTAAGATAAACAACTTCAACTACTCAGATATTGTATATGCAACTAAAGAAGAACGTGTCAGCTATATAGAGAGAGCATGTTTCATTTAACACAATTGTGATTCTCTTTAAACAATTGCATTATTATCAATTACGACAATCGATACGTTCATTTTATAATAGTACATCCATTCAGCAAGTTCACAGTCCGAGCCATATATGCATTTATGTCTTTTATATAAAACTGTAAATGGATTGATCTTGTAAATCTACATCCTCAGTTTATGCGCTGACGTTCCTTATAATACCTTACAGGGCTTACGCTACTCGATAAATAACGTTTCATCAGGTTGTATGTGTATTATCTATTTAAATATATATCATGTTATAATTATTGGGCAATAAACGAACGAACGTATGAATGGCCCATAAGTCGAGTCTCTGAACTTAACGCGAGTGAAGTATTACTATTAATGTAATCTAAGTAATTCGGCAATTGTGCATAGAGTGAAGACAATTCTACTTTGTGTTTCATTTGATTTTACATACACTTCATCAAGTTTTTCGGTCATTGGAATATAGTAGGTACTGCGGGGGTAGGGGTTACTTGGTGTTTTTAGTTAAATTATTGAGGGAACACCATCTTTAAGAAGGAAGTCCACTTTGAGAATGATTTGACAGATTTTAAATAAATTTGACAAAAGCTCCACCTACGCATGTGCCATATGGAACGCCGTTACTGTTTTATGTGGCCACAATTCAATACATGAGTAAAACTTGTGATGTGCAATACATACCTTTCAATATACAGCACGTATATCTTGGAATGGTTCGATTTAGCCAATATGTGTCAGAGGCTCAACGACAAGCGAGTTTGAAGGGCAACAGTGACTTCTTTGACCGATAATGATTTGGCAGTGTTTTAAAATTACTACCATCGGCGACTGCATCACAGTATCCGGGGGTTACTTCCACCTTAAGTGGGTAGGGATGTGCAGGCCACCTCTCGTAAGCCATACTCAATTCTAAACCATTTTTAGCTCCGCTGTTGATTCTGTCGAGTGAAGCTTATGATATAAGTGATTGTCGTCCGTGTCAACTTTTTACCTTTTTGATTTCTTCTTGTCTGAATGGTTTGATACTTGTTGTTTATGTACCTTGGGTATACCTCTTTAGATTTGTACATTTCATGATGATATCTTCAATTCTCTGATTTTGGTGAATATTTGGGTAATTTTTGGTAAAAATTGATATTTTCGGCTTCTTGTTAAAAACCGCAAGTCCAATTGCTTTGATATTACGTATATAGGTACTACATGTGAACCTAACTCAGATTTGTTCATTTCGTGGTGAAATCTTCAATTCTCTAATTTTTGGTGAATAATTTAGTAAAAAGTGATATTTTCGACTTCTTGTTAAAAACTACTAGTCTGCTTGCTTTTGATACTATACATATAGATACCTCAGGTAAACCTCTTAGATTTGTTCATTTCGTGGTGATATCTTCAATTCTCTAATTTTTGGTGAAT